GTGCTAAAATAGCTCCATTGGTGAAAGGGTACAGCTCACGTTGCCATCTTCAAAACACTTACAGTGGAGCTTGTGCTGCAACAGGCACAACCAAAAGCAGAATTATCAGTGTGACCAAGTGTGGGTATAGGCTGTTACCTACAGAAGGGGGTGTTCTGGGAAATCCACATTTCATTTGTAACATGCGATTAAAAAAAAAAAAGAAAACACCTAAGTGTGGCTCAAGTGGTAGAGTGCCTGACTAGCAAGCACAAAGCCTTGAGTTCAAACCCCAGTACCTCCAAAATAAATAAATAATACCCCAGATGTTTGTAAGGAATCATCTAAATGATTTCATACAAAGTGTTTAGCATAGGCAAGCCCCTCAATAAATAGAGACTGTCACTTTTACTACTTATCAGTGAGAGTAACAAAAGAAAATATACAATTGTGATATACTTATATATTACTGGAAATAGTCAAAGAAAACTAAGTATAGGAAGGATTATGTGTCCTTGACGTTACTTCTTGCCACAAAGGGATGGAGTTCAGAAGTTACAGTGATGGTTGTATGGGAAAGATCACATAAGTGGAAACTCTGAGTTCAAACCCCAGTACTGAAGAACAACAACAAAAAAACCAACCAACCAACCAACCAAACAAACAAACAAAAAAGGAAGCATAAAGGAAGGCCCTCCATCAGTCTTTCCTCAAAAAACACCAGTGCGATGTTCTGAGAGAGTGGTTAGGTTTGAAAAGGCTCATACCTGACCAAACCTTTGGTGTGCTCCAATAGAAAGGCCTTGTTTTGGTGGTGGCTGTCTAAGCTTATACTGCAAAGTCAAAGAATCCTGGCCATTAGGAATATCTTGGTGCCGTCAGTATGCGGTAGCTTACAAGCTTGGCTCACAGCTTAAAAGAAATTAAAAAGAAAACCTGAAAGGTCATTAGAATTGTGGACATTTTGATGTTTTTGAAGGCTGACATGAAGGAACTAGGGTACAATTCTCTTTTTTATAAATTTTTTATTAGGATATATTCATCGTATGGGGGGGGCTTCATAATGACAATTCCAATTAGACTTATATTGTACATTGTTACATTGCCCCCATCATCTCTTCCCATCAGCTCCTGCCTCACACCATTTAAAGCAATTTAAACCTTAAAGAGGTTTTTTAGTTCTGTTTCATATAGATATATGTAGTCCATCTGCCATATACCATCACCTTAATCTCCTTCCTTCACCTTCCCTCCCCTCCCACTATTACCTCCCATCCTCCTGCACACACCATGCCTATATTACAGTCCTGGCTTTCATTATTAATATTTGAGTTGATGTTCAACGGGGTGTCTCAATGTATGCCCACTGTGGGTGTGCTTTACTTTGGTCTGTTCAATCCCTTCAAATCCTCTCCCTTACCCTTTTACCTCCCACCCCCCGCTTTTCAACAGCTTTCAATGTATATCCTTATATCCTCTACCTTCATATCTTATGTTACGTGAGATTACTGATGTTCTGTCATTCTCTTTTCCTTTCTCTCTTCCCCCAAGTTCCACTGAGTAGTTCCACTGTTACAACATGTTCTACATCTGAGTTTGTATATGATCATGTTTGTTTTGTGTACATGTTTATCTTTGGATCTATCTTCCACATATGAGAGAAAACATGTGCCTTTTGTGTCTCTGATACTGACTAACTTCACTTAAATGATGTCCCCCAACTGCATCCATTTAGGGTACATTTCTTGATGTTTCAGAGCAGTTGGGTGACACCATAAAAAATTCCACATCTGGTTAAGCATGTTGGTACACGCCTGTAATCTCAGCATGCAGGAAGTTCAGGCAGGATTATGAGTTCTAGGCCAGTCTGGGCTACACAGTGAGTTCCATGCCAACCTGAGCTACATAGCAAGACCCTGTTTCCAAAAAGAAAAAAAGTTCCACATCTGAATTTTTTACTGAAAAAAATTTAAGAATTCAGCTTGGTATTCTCCTAAATGGTGAGACAGCTGTCTGTTCCAACTCCACTACCTGAGTTATGTACTTTTTTCCACTGTGACTTGAAGTGACTCTTGCACTACACCTGTACTAGCTTTTTTTTTTAACCTAACCATCTCTTTTCCCTATCATCTTCTGAAAAACCAAATCTTAAACTCTATACCCTGGACACAAGGGTGGAAAATGGACCTGTACTGGATCACAAAGAACTCTTCCCATTCATTTTTTTTCTTTTTTAAAAAAATCATTAGAGTGTGTTAATTGTACAAAGTCATGGGTTCCACTGTGACATTTTCCTACCTGCTTATGTTGACCATAGTACCCCATCTATGATCCTCTTATCCCCACCTCCCTGTTAGCCCTACCACATCCCTGGCAGTCCTCCTTTTACTTTCATGTCCTAGTCTTCCTCTAAATTCCACATATGAGAGAAAACACGATACTTGTTTTTCCAAGACTGGCTTACTTCATTTAACATGATGATCTCCAATTCCATCCATTTTCCTGCAAATGACAAAGTTTTGTTCTTTCTTAAAATTTTATTTATTTTTTAATTTTTTAGGGGTACTGGGGTTTCAACTCAGGACTTCACACTTGCCAGGCAAGTGCTCTACCTCTTGAGTCAGGCCTCCAGTCCAGTTTTGTTCTTATGGCTGAATGAAACTCCATTGTGTATATAGACTTCATTTTCTTTTCTTTTCTTTTTGCGGTACTGGGGCTTGAACTCAGGGCATATGCCTTGAGCCACTTCATCAGCTCTTTTTTGTGAAGGGATTTTTGAGATAGGGTCTTGTGAACTATTTGCCTGGACTGGCTTCAAACCACAATCCTCTTGATCTTTGCATCCTGAGTGGCTAGGATTACAGGGGTGAGCCATCGGCACCTAGCTTAGACCACATTTTCTTTTGGCACTGGGGCACATTTTCTTTATCTTGAAGCCTTAAGCCGGCCTTGAGTTGCCTGATGGAGGAGTAGCAAGTACTGATGGCATTAAGCATCTGTGGTTGGAGTGGCTCTCAGGGGAGGTCTGTTGCTGCCCCCATTCTGTTGAGAATGTGGTCACTAAAATATTCCTTTTTGCTTAAGTTAGATATACTTGGGTTTCTACTACTTGCGAATAAAAAACTACTCTTACTATCTCTTAAGTTCTTAAATGTATTTGGGTCTATTTATTCTCTGTTCCCATTGATGTACTTTTCTATTCTCTTCTAGAATTAAGCTGTTTCAATTTCTTTACGCTTTAATATCTTTTAGTTATTACTGTTTTGGTCAATTTTCTGTCACTGACAAATACCTGAGATAAATCAACTTAAAAAGGAGGAAAGGTTTATTTTGGCTCATGGTTTCAGAGGTCTCAGTCCATGGTGGCTTGGCCCTGCTCTTCTGGACTTGTAGTGGCACAGTACATCATAGCAGCAGCATGTGGTGAGCAGTCAGAAAAAGAAAGCCAGCGCTGGTGGCTCACACCTGTAATCCCAGCTACTCAGGAGGCAGAGATCAGGAGGACTGTGGTTCAAAGCCAGCCCAGGCAAATAGTTTGTGAGACCCAATCTCAAAAAATCCCTTCACCAAAAGAAAGAAAGAAAGAGAGAAAGAGTAATCAGGATCTCAATATCCCCTTCAAGGGCACATCCCCCATGACCTAACTTCCTTCCATTAGGCCTACCTCCTGCAGGTTCTGGCACTTCCCAAGAGCACCACAGGCTGGGGACCAAGGCCAATGAAAGGAACACGTAGAAAGGAAGCACACGGACAAATCTACCAAGACAACATCACATAACAGTTAACTCATAGGCTTTAGGCTGGGACTGCATGAGTTTGATCCCTGTTCTCTCACTAAGGGTATGTGGCCTTGGGAAAGTTACCTTAACTTTTCTGTTTCAGGTCACTCAGTAACAGTAGTATTTCCCTCACAGGGTTGTTGAAAGGATTATGTAATTCACACAAACTACTTACAACTGTGCCTGGCACATAGTGCTATATGAATGATTACAATATTAGAATGGCTTAAACTGCTAAGACACAAAGATCTTAAGACTGTGGATGTATTTACAACTTTCCAATGGATGTCTCTTAGACAGATGGGTAACCAAACCAGTGTAGTATTCATAAATATTGCTAGTTACTGCCTTCTCTCTCTCTTTTTTTAATAGTAGGGATGTACACATTTGAGCTATAATTCTAAAGGGGATGCTATATTTAAGCTGTGTTTTAAGAGTATCTTTCATTCTTCATGGAGATTCCTACTTTGTAGAGTGAACTGTGGTAGATGCTGTGTGACATACAAAAATGATCAATAAAAAGATCTCTTGGGGCTGGTGGAGTGGCTCAAGTGGTAGAGTGCCTTCCTAGCAAGTGTGAGGCCCTGAGTTCAAACCCCAGTACTGCCAAAAAACAAACAAAAAAGAAAACAAAAAACCTCATCCCTTCAGGTTATAAACAGGTAGCAGGAAAAAAAGGGGGTCATACATAACTGGGGGTCCACAATGTTTGTAGACAGAAAGAACACCCTGTGAGGTACATGAGGATGGGCGGGAACATGATTAATTTCAGACAGCATTTGAATACTTTCAGTTAACACTAGAAGTACATGGTACATTTTCACATACTGGTAATAACATAAAGCAGTTAGGATACAGAGGGTTTGGAAACCACAGGGAAAGTGTGGGTAATTTGAAATGGTCCAGTTTGATGAAAAAAATGGGAAAGAGAGGGTTGGGTGCAGCTCAGTGGTAGAGCACATGCTTAGCATGTACAAGGCTCAAGGTTCAATCCCTGGCACTGAAAAAAATACAGAGTAAGTGATGAATAATGAAAGATACGGCTGCAGAGGGAGGCTGGGTGGGGATAGGCTGAGGAACAACCTTATCAGAGAAATAAGTGCTGAAGAAGATGGGATTATTGGTGGGAAGGTTACTGTAATTATGAGAGGTTCTTCATATAAATTAAAATATATTTTATTTTCAAAGTAAATGAAGCATATGCATAATAAATAATTCGAATTTGAACATGTGCAGATAGCTTCATGCTTTTTCCAGGGATGCGCCCACAGTGCCAGGGAAATCAGAAGGCACTCTCAGCAATTCTTCCACTTCTTCTTGCAAAGCCTCTGCTTTCTCATGCAACAGCATCTACAGTGAAAAGTCAATCATGAGGTCACTGCTAGGGAATTGCCAACAATTTTACCACTGACTATTAAAAACCCAAATCTGTATGCATCAATAATCTAGACATTAAAACTAACATAATGAGACTGAGAAATGGCTACTTAAGAGTAAGTGGTTATAGTAAATGAAGCTGAGGCATTAGTTAAAACCACTTCAGCTGATCACTGCATTTAATAGACCAAAAATAAAGGAACTTTAATGCCCTCAAGGATGTGCTTTACTTAAAACATTAATATTTAATCTATAAAATTTCAAACAATTTTGCAAAAGCTTAATTAGCTTCTGAAAATGTTATCTTTTATGTATGCATTCTATTATTCCTCAAAATTTAGTATGCTTTTAAAGACCCATCAGTATTTCAAAGAAAAGTTTTACTCCAGTTAATATGGCTAATTTCCTTTCTTCCCTCCCTCCCTCCCTTCCTTCCTTTTCCTGGTTTTTTGAAAACAGGGTCTCGCTAAGTAGCCTAGGTTAGCCTTGAACTCACCATCCTCCTGTTTCAGCCCCCTGAATGCTAGGGTTACAGGCAAATGCCATCATGCCCAGCAACATGGTTAATTTCAAAAGCAACATGTGAAGAAAAAACTATTTCTAAACTATTTCCCAACATGGCACACAGATAGTGTGATGGTCCATGCTTATCCTTGCAGCTGAGGCAGGAAGATTTTGAGTTCAAAGCCAGCCTGGGCTATTCAAGACCCTGTCTCAAAGAACCAAACAAGCTAGGCCCTGGTGGCTCATGCCTATGATCTCAGCTATTCAGGAGGACTGCAGTTCAAAGCCAGCCCCGGGCAAATAGTTTGAGGCCCTATCTCGAAGAACAACATTACAAGAAAGGACTAGCTGAGTGTCTCAAGCAGTAAGAGTGCCTCTGTAGCAAGCATGAAGCCCTGAGTTCAAACCCTAGTGCCACTGTAGTAGGGACCAGAAAAGAAGCAGACAAGTTTGTTCTGATAATGTAGCAGGGGGAAGGGATGGCATAGCAGAGAGATAAAACAAAGAACTGAAACATGAAGAAGGTCACAAACCACTGGGAGAATGAAATAGCCAGTAAAATCACATGCAACCATATATAGGTTAAGCTTTGTTTTTTGCTTCTGTAACCTGCTTGCAAGGGTATATAAGGTGAGACTCCTTTGTTCTCAGGGCTCAGGCTTTGGACATGAGTCCACTGGGTCTGTGCTGGCACAATAAAATGTTGCTTCCTGATAAACTGCCTCAGTGTCCTATATCTCAGCTTGAAAGTCCTGCAACATTTTTTGGGGGGCTTATTGCCAGGACTGTGGAGACAGTGATTTGTCACCTCCCTTGTCACTGGGGTGCATCCCGTGGACTGCCAGGAGAAGTGATCCCACCAGGTGCCAATGGACAGTTTGATCTGGAGGAGGGAGTCATCCTCCTGGTGACTCCAGGTAAAGGCCTCCCATGCACAACAGAACCCAGTGAGGTGCAGGAACCAGAGAGGGGAGGGGCGCACCGCTTGTCAGACTGGTAAGAACCTGGGTTCGAATAATAGATCTCCCTTTAGGAGTTAGAAGGGGAGACTGATCACCTCCCAGAGACCCCTGTATAACCCTGTCTGGGGTGAAACCTGGTATCTCAGGTTTAGGGAACAGGTCAAAAGTGTGTGAGACACCTCCAGGAATTAGGAAGGTTGAGTACCTACTTGGTTTTCCAGTGAGATAGACCAGGATTAGAAACAACACAAGTTAAAAGAAAGCACTTTGGGTAAAATGCAAGAAACCTCCAGTATTGGGGTGGGGGTGTTGAGCTCTTCCCTGAAAACAGCCACAACCGAGGTTAAGGGATGGGTAACAAAAATTCAGTTCCAAAGAGGAAGACTCACAAGAGAACAGATGCATCATCTGCCATTCTACTGGATAGCCCTCTGGTTATGGTTTAAAAAGGTTTTTCTGAGAGTGCACTCTAATTTTGTGTGTGACAATTTGTTTACAACATTGGGCAAAATTTAATTTGCTCCTGGAATTCCAGCTCATCTTATGCACACTTAAGTTGACATTTTTTTCTGGCATCCTTAATTTATAAGTATGTGTGTATGTGTAAGCATCTTCAAAATGGTTCTTAAACTGCTGTTATAAGGTTAATGTGATATTCAAGGTAACAAAAATCCAGAGTGTTTATTTTAAAGATCTGTTATAAACTGCTTAAGCTTTTTACATATGACTATGTAAACATCTCAAGGATGGTTCTTATTATAGAGTCAATGTAAAAAGCTGTCACTCTGTTCTACTACTATTTTTAAGAAAACCACTTTTCAAATTTATTTCAATCAGGTCTCACGAGGATGCAGGCATTCAGAGTTTAACACTCTGGCTCAGACCAGAGGAGGAAAAAAAAGAAAGAAAGAAAGAAAAGGGGGCCACAGCCTCCAGCAGGAATCTTAAAATTTGGGTAGTTAAAAAAATGACCTTAGCCTGTTTCATTCTGTCATAAATAAAATCTGGGATTTAATTCTCTCTTATAATACATGGGTCTATTAACAAATGGGCTTCCTATAAATTGTTTTTATACAAAAAATAATTTTAAGGTTACTTTCTTTCTGTTTTTTTTTTCATACAAATATAAGGCTCTAAGTTAAAAGGGTTTATGAGTTATTTTCAATAAGTAACAAAAATATATATAAGGTATTAAGGATATAGCTTTTTAAAAAATAAAAGGTTAAAAAATACTTTTAAAAAAAGTATGAAAACAAGCTCCCCAGAGGATACAAAGTAAGTTGTCACAAAGGTACAGATGACAACTGTACCTTTATAAGATGGAGCTTATAAATACTTACATAAGTGATTAAGTTAACTAAAATTCAGTTACATTAAAGGTTTTATAGGGTCAAAATTTAATGTACTGAATGTTAAAACTAAAAATTCTCTAAGCTCATAACAACCAGGGTATCTTAAAAATATTATATTGTTCTTGACATTTACAAAAGACTGTCTTAAAAATGGTTTTTGTTTTGTCAAGATAACTGTCAGGAATTTTTAGTGCTACAGGTTAATCCACAAATTTATCAAGACAACAAGAGTTTATTAAACACAGAGAAGCAAGAGACAGCTGAGCACAGGGAGTGTGCACTGATATGAGGGTTGAGATAGATTGACTTATGTAAAGCAAAGTTAAAAAACAAACAAACAAACAAACAAAAAACAAACAAAGCCAAAGTGCACCCTCCAGATAGGGTTTTAAAAAAAACCTCAAAAAACCCCACTACACTGGAAGTCAAGACCTCTAGTTTTTATTGGACTCAACAGAATGGAGATGTTAGTCCTATGCCTTCCACATGTTGGATGGAAGGAATTTTTGGCCTGGGATGTCCAGATTGGGCCTGTTATTTTAGGGGGCTCCATTGACTACAGGTTGATAGGATCCTGCTGTATGTCATAAGCTATGTGTTAATGTCAACAATCTGGAATATGATCCCTTAATCAACATCTAAGCCATGATTCTTAGCCATTAGGTTTCTTAACTCCACACTTAGTCCCCATAAATATTTACCTGTGTTCTCTGGTGATTTTTGTCAGGATTTTAACTACTAAGGTATCCGAGTCATAACTAAATAAAAGTTCATTTAAGAGTTGGTTTATGTAAAATTTACTAGATGATGTCATGGTTAAACAACTGTTGTCTTGGGTGATTCTAATACAGTTGGTACCCTATATGTGTCTGTGACTGGGCTATTTGGGTTTACTGACACTGTTCCCCCGCCTCCCAAATCATGAGACAATCTAAGGTTTTATTTCAAGAGCAACAACTAAACTAATATGTATATATATAAAAAACCTCTAGAGAGCTGTGATGTTGTTGCTAGTTCCTGTATACTAAATATATTTATGCTTTTCAAGTAGATCAAGCCTTCTAAAATACAAAATTTAGATAAACATGGTAACAAAAAGTTAGTGGTATTGATACACTGTTCTGTTAGTTGCTAAACTGTCCATCAAGATTTTAACCATGGCTCTTTTAAGCTTTTGTTATTACAGTTCTGATCCTTCTTGGGGCATTTACAATCAAGTCCATAAAAAATGACTCTAATAACTACTTATGTGTCAACCAGGTTAGCTTTTTAGATGTCTGTTTTTGTTGGATTTTATTTTGTATTGTCCTTGTCTAGAAGCCCACTGCCTAAGAGTCACTCTTCTAAGTCTCTTTGTTGCTTAAATTTGGCCAAAAGGGTCTAATTGGCACTGACCCCCACCTGATCTGCTGTTATTTTCCTCTCAATGTGGGACCAAAACCAAATAAACAAAATCCAGGAAAAACAAAATCGTCACGATAAAGAAAGACAATGAATAATCAAGAAAGATCTTCAGTTTATGGCCATACCACCCTGAACACACCCTATCTCATCTGGTCTCGGAAGCTAAGCAGGGTTAGGCCTGGTTAGTACTTGGATGGGAGACAGATCTTCAGAAGAGACTGCTCAGAGACAGGCAGTTTGGAGACAAATGGGGAATGCCATCAAAGTTCAAATGGAGTCACTGGTGCCAGACCTCTCAAAAATAACCAAAGCTGAGAGGATTGAAGAAATGGTTCCTATGCATGTGTGGCTATCTGGCATTAAAGCCCTTCCAGACACAAACTCATATTTTTAGGCAGGGTCTTCTACTTAAATAGAGACAAAGTGACTATTTTTATTGGCTCTAAACATGTCCTTTGATACTTAAAGATGGTGGTTTTAACTTTTTAGAAACAATGCATTTTGTTGGGCATATACACTGATAATATGTTGTTGCCATGGTAATTCAACTCAGTAAAAAACAAAACAAAACAAAAACCAAAAGGTACTGTCTGGTTAAAAGAGCAAAATGTCCAACCATTAAAACCCCACTGGAGGGGCCCTTTGGTTGTCATCTTGTCTATCCCCACTGCAAGGGGACAACAGTCCTGCTCTAGTCATTCCACCCCTGTTCTCCTCTACAAACTTGGACTCTTACCTTTAGGGTTGACTC